ACCTTATCTTTTTCTCCCTTTGGCTCTCTGGAAGTTGAGGCTTCTGTTATTTTCGAGTGGGAAATTTCCCCTACTCGACTTGGCCCCCCTCCTCTTGTGCAGAAGTTTAGGGGATTTCTTCTCCTCCCCCCGGCTTTCTGATAGTTGAGGCTTCCGTTAATTTCGAGTGGGACATTTCCCCTGCTCGAATTAGCGCATCTCCTCTTATGCAAAAGTTTATGGGATTTCTTTTTCTTCTCCCTGGCTTTCTGACAGTTGAGGTTTTCGTTAATTTCGAGTGGAACATTTCCCCTGCTCGACTTAGTGCCCCTCCTCTCGTGCAGAAGTTAGGGGATTTCTTCCGCCCCTCTAGCTTTCTAATGGTTGAGGCCTTCTGCTAATTTCGAGTGGGAAATTTCCCCTGCTCGACATAGCGCCCCTCCTCTCGTGCAGAAGTTAGGGGATTTCTTCCGCCCCTCTGGCTTTCTGACGGTTGAGGCCTTCCGCTAATTTCGAGTGGAAAATTTCTCTTACTCGATTTAGCGCCCCTTCTCTCATGCAGAAGTTAGGGGATTTTTTTCGGCCATCTCTTTTTTTCAAGAGATCCTGCGAAGTTCTGATATTAGTTGGTTTGAGATGGAGGTCGGAGAGACCGTTGTAAGGAGGAAATTTGAAAAGATTGTTGGACTGCAGAAATCCGGCGTCGAGTAGAAATACGGCGTCGGGCAGAAGACCGACGAAAGTCTATTGACGGATAGAAGTCCGACGACGGGTAGAATTCCGACGTCCGGTAGAAGTACGACGTTGGATATAAGTACGATGGCAGACAGAAGTCCAACGTTGGGTAGAAGTACAGCGTCGGGCAGAAGACCGACGAAAGTCCATCGACGGGCAAAAGGCCGACGACGGGTAGAAGTCCGACGTCCGGTAGAAGGATGACGTCGAGTAGAAGGTCGACGAAAGTCTATCGATGGGCAGAAGTCCGTCGACGGGTAGAAGTCCGGTGACAAGCAAAAGTTCGATGACAGGGAGAAGTCCGACGTCGGGTAGAAGTACTGACGAAAGTCTATCGACGGGCAAAAGTACGACGGAAGTCCATTGACAACCTTCTGAAGACGTTAACCAGGGATGTATGATCTATTCGAGGTTGTATGTTAGAGCCTTTGCTCGATGATGTTAACCTATATTGGATCCACCAAAGATGTGAGACTTATCCGAGCTTGTATGTCGGAGTTTTTTCTCGACGATGTTAACCTGTATGGAAGAGGTCGAGAGAATCCACCAAGAATATGAGACCTTTTCGAGGTTGTATGTCAGAGTTTTTGCTCGATGACGTTAACCAGTATGGAGGAGGTCGGGAGGATACACCAAGAATGTGAGACCTTTCCGAGGTTGTATGTCGGAGTCTTTGCTCAACGACGTTAACCTGTATGGAAGAGGTAGGGAGAATCCACAATAAATGTGAGACCTTTTCGAGTTGTATGTTGGAGTCTTTGCTCGACGACGTTAACCTGTATGGAAGAGCTCGGAAGAATCCACCAAGGACGTAAGACCTATCCGAGGTTGTATGTCAGAGCCCTGCTCGATGACGTTAACGTGTGTGGAAGAGGTCGGGAGAATCCACCAAGGATGTAAGACCTATTCGAGATTGTATGTCAGAGCCTTTGCTCGACGACGTTAACCTATATGGAAGAGGTCGAGAGAATCTACCAAGGATGTAAGACTTATCCGAGGTTGTATGTCGGAGCCTTTGCTCGACGACGTTAACCCGTGTGGAAGAGGTCGAGAGAATCCACCAAGGATGTAAGACCTATCAGAGTTTGTTTATCAGAGCCCTGCTCGATAACGTTAACCTGTGTGGAAGAGGTCGAGAGAATACATCAATAACATATGATCTATCCGATGTTGTATGTCAGAGCCCTGCTCGATGACGTTAACCTGTATGGAAGAGGTCGAGAGAATCCCCCTGAGATTGATTTTGCTCTTATTGGGAGGGGGCGAACGCCGCGTATATCCCAAATTAAAAGTAGAGAGCGGTCTATCTTTAGACCGTTATTGCCTTTATGAGGTCGAGATTAAGACCTTGCCTACGGAGTAGAAGTCCAGCAAGGGACTGTATAAAGCTTGTAATTGATTGGAAGTATCTTTGCTGTCGTTGGGATTTTCCTAAAATATCATCTTGATATAGAAAGCATTGGAGGATCTTTTTGACCAGAATTGGGGTTAAAGTTGCCCCCCAGTCCGCATCTGATGCAACAACGACTGATGTCATGAAGTTGATAAGAGCGATCTTTTGATATTGGAGCAAAAGTTGCCCCCCCCCAGTCAGGAACCATGTTCCCATAGACGGCGCCAAACTGTTGCTTTCAGGAGTATTCGCGGCGGTAGAGAAATATAAGATTTAATGTCTTAGCGTTGTACGAAAATCCGGCACGCAATCAGATAAAGAGAGAGGGTCTAGCATTTATGAGACACCGAGATTTTTACGTGAAAACCCCCTGAAAATGGGGAAAACCACGAGGACTAGCCCAGTTTGAATGAATCCATTAGTATTGTAGTTGATTATAAATGAGGTCCTTCCTTGGGGGAAGGCCTTACCTTGATGTACATCTTATGGAGTACATTACATGATGTTAATACAAATAGTCATTGTTGACGTGTTCGTTTGGTCGGAAGGAACGTAGTCGACGGGCGACGGAGGTCGGAAGGCTTGTAGTCGGTGGGCGACGTAAGTCAGGAGGACCGTAGTCGGCTGGCGACGGAGGTCGGAAGAATTATAGTCGGCGGACGACGTAAATCAGGAGGATCGTAGTCGACGGGCGACGGATGTCGGAAAGACTGTAGTTGGCGGGCGACGTAAGTCAAGAAGACCATAGTCGATTGGCGACGGAGGTTGGAAGGACTGTAGTCGACGGGTGACGTAAGTCAGGAGGACCGTAGTCGACGGGCGACGAATGTCAGAAAGACTGTAGTCGGCGGGTGACGTAAGTCAGGAAGACCGTAGTTGGCTGGCGACGGAGGTCGAAAGCATTGTAATTGGCTGGCGACGTAAGTCAGGAGGACCATAGTCGGTGGGCGACGGAGGTTGGAAGGATTGTAGACGACGGTCGACGAATGTTGGAAAGATTGTAGTCGGCGGGCGGCGTAAGTCAGGAGGACCGTAGTAGTTATCTGACGACGAAGATCAGAAGGACGACGTCAGGTAGAAGTCCAACAAAGGAAAGAAATCCATCTTCGCATAGACGTCCAGCGAAGTCCGATAACCGATAGAAGTCCGGCGCCGGGTAGAAACTTGGCGAATAGTGAAGGTCCGACGTTGGGTAGAAGTCCGACGTCTGTTGGTGGCAGAGGAGAACTCAGGCTTCTCTTGGGCGGATTTTCGACGTCAGGAGGGAACTCTGTTGTTAATTGGGAAGAATTTTAGTATCACGTGGAAGTTGGGCAGAATTCCGGCATTCTCCCGAATATCACGCAGAATCCCGACGTGTTCGGGCGGCAGGACGAACTCCGGCGGTGGTCGAGGAGGAGCTGATTCTCCTCCTCCTCTTCTTCTTCTCTTCTCTTTCTTGCTTCCTCCCCCTCTTTGTGAAGAATGAGGGCTCTATTTATAGATTTTCTGGAGTAGCACAGCCCGTAAATAGGTGTGAGATCAGGGGCAAATAGGGAGTGGTCGAATGGACAGTTGATGTTGAACCCTTCGATCATGCACCATTCGTTGGACATTTGAAGTCCTTAATGATGTCGGAATTCAGCGATCTTGAGCTCGTTAGATTTGTCTCGTCGAGCCATTCGATTCGATTATAAGCTCGTTAAAATCAGAGACCGTTTGGTAACTCAAATTGTGGTTTGAACTTTCCAACAGCGCTTCGGGTGCTTGGTTTGGGCTCATTTGGACTCGGATTGAGTTGAATTTGGTGTCGTTGGGTTCGTATTTCCGAGACGCTCAGTTTGACTGTAAGCTTGTTGAAATTGGAGTTCGG